GATCGCAACACTACATAGTTAATAGTATTATAAAGAATAATGATATATGAATATCTTACGATATAATATTTTGATTAGATAATACATAGTTAATAGTATTATAAAGAATAATGATATATGAATATCTTACGATATAATATTTTGATTAGATAATTTTTTTGAAAATTTATATAAATATAAAATAAATTGTTATTTTTAGCGCACTTAGTTTTTATAGAAGGTTTCTAGTTTTTTTACTAGTAAAATTTACGATTAATGAAAGTTTAAATTTAAGATCTCGGATATTTTACTTTAATTCAATGCCATTAAACACATCCCAGTAATTCAAAAGTTATCTTATTAATTATTCTTTATAAAGTTGAATGCTATAATCAATATTGAAACAATTCAATGCCATTAAACACATCCCAGTAATTCAAAAGTTATCTTATTAATTATTCTTTATAAAGTTGAATGCTATAATCAATATTAAAATAATTTGTTTAAAATTTTAAAAAATGACTATAAAATAATTATGTAATTCTTAAAAAATAAAAAGTTACTTACTTTTAAAATACTCAGTTTAGACAAACTTTTAGAAAAATATTTATTTTATTTAAAAATGTTTTTAAATTAAATAAACGGACCATTAATATATAAAGAGAAAAAATAATTTATTTTGGGCGAGTTTTCAAGATTCTTTCATTCTTTGCATGTGGACCTGCAGATTTTTTGAGTGAGAATGTTGTGATGTATTTCTTTTGTACACTACTTTGACAATTTACTGAATTTTAATGGAATCAGAATTCCTGAATAAAAGTTCTGTTATGTATATCTACATTTAGGCAACAAATTATAATTTGTAGAGACTTTAGTGTTTTTTTTTAATCTGCTCTTAATATAGCTCTATAGTTTTTTTTATAATTGATTTTCTGTACATTATAAGATCAGATTATAGTTCAGAAATCTAAATTCTGATTGGATATAAATTGAGTTTGTTCTGTTCAAGTTTTGAATTTGTAAGAATGATTAATTTTTAATATTATTTTTTATTATTTAAAAATTTAAGGATGAAATAATCTAAAATTTATGTAATGAAAATAGACAACCATTTTTATATATAAACTAGTAAGGTGTGTTTCTATATTTATTTAAAAGTATTTAAAAATTATCAATATTTATTAAATTAATTAGTATTTGTTTAAAGTTGTACACAAAAACATGAATAGGTATATATATATATATATATATATATATATAAGAAAAGAAAAAAAACTGTTTCACACTAATTAAGAAACTTAATTTATATTATTTAATTTTGTTAGTTTCATATTGAAAATAACTTATTTTTCTAAATCATCATTTCTTGAAACCTAATATCAAAAATAAAAAAATAAAATAAAAGTACAATCCTGAAGTATTTTAAAGATAACAATATTGAACAGAGCGAAACTAATTAAGATTTTCTTATATTGAGATGAATATAAGTTAATTCTTTTATTTATACTAATGAAAAAAAAAAGGTATTTTGTATTTTGTTAATGTTGAAAAGTTACAAAATGATTAAGGTAGTAGAAAAAGAAATCAAAGTCAAATATTTGCTTATTGCTTGATGGAGAATTACTCCCTTATCCTAATTTAGTCATTAGATACGGCAATTAAATTGTGATTCCTATATACTTTCAACCTACAGGATAACTAACAAAATAATAAAAAAAAATATAATTTAAATAATAATTCATCAACCCAATTTGTAAACCAAGAATACCATAGAATTCATCGATTTATTGAAATAATTTTCACAAAAAAAAGCTAACAAGAAAGATTTATTTTATTTTTGTAATGTGATTAACCAAACAAACTTCTCTATATAAAAACATAAAGTCACAATAAAATCCCATAAAATTATTTTATAAGTTTGAACTTAAGACCTCAACAATAGTCATCCATAGAGAATACTATTGGGATTTTCATTGTGTTGGACAACACCTTCTTATTATTGGCCACTAACAAAATTCTACAACCCTTGTGATCATTTCCAAATGGTATTCCTATCTTGGTCAAGTTGATTTCACCTTGCAGATCGTCTAAGATGATAAGAATTTTTTGCTTCATCATTATTTTCTCAGACAAACAACTAGCTCTTTCCTCTAGAGTTTTCTCTTGGAGTTGTAAACCCAACTGGTTCCCAAGTTTTTCTTGAATATTTCTCACGTCTAGTGATTTGTTCCACCATGTATTCTTTTTTACCAAGCTTGCCATTATAACTACATCAAATTGTCCATCCCTCTCAACTCTTCTGGTGATTTTCTTCAATGCATTGTCTTTACTCTTATAACTTGATCCGTATAACCCAATCATGATAATATCCGATCTTGTTAGAGTTGTTATCATTTCATTCAAAATCTGGTCCATGTATGAATAAGGAGTGGCATCAAGCACATAACATCCATCTTCTTCTGATTATGTAAAATGGATAGATTAAATATAATTTTATAATAATAGACAAACTAGTAAATGGACATGTGCAATGCATGGAAAAAAAAAATAGAATATTATAATAAATAATTATAAAGTAAGTAATAAAGTTGAAAAAAAAAATGGAAAGAGATGATTTCTAAGTCACAAGCTTATGAAATTCAAACTTGAAACAAAAAATATATATAGCATATTCCTTAAGCTTACAAAATGGAAAAGGAAAAGATAACATTATAAAGGTGAAAAATATACAACATATGACAAATGAAACTCGCTTCGGCCATTGGCATAAATCATTTAAAATTAATTTAGTCTCAATCTGCAACCGAAATCATAAAACATAATGTACAGCACTTCTTTAGTCATTTCATGGTCAAAATGGATGCAAATAAAAAAAAATACCATACAAGAAACTAATATTTGAAAGTAATCGATGGAATGTTGATAGAAAACATCCAAATAGGATTGCAAAATGGCCTACCAAAGTTGCTCAAATTTTAAAGGAAAAATATAATTCAAAAGTTGAAGTGGAATAATTTCTTGATATGCACTTCATTCATAATAGTGCTAATTAAACACACAATTGAACAAAATATCCTATAGCAATCATTGTAAACAAAACTAAACTCAATTGTGTAACCTTCCTCTAATTTGTTTCCAACACCAAATGTATTACATTGTTTTATAAGAATAGTTTCTTCAATAGTCCTTTCGCCTACAAACACCACATCTATAAAATATTCAATATGTCAATTACTAATGTATCAAATTATAAAATTTTACAACTTACATATAATAAAAAGAAAACCACTGATTTGACAACAAATTTATAGCTAGTGTATTGCTCATCTAATTTACTTATAATAGTTTAAATTAGAATATGTTTAAAATTATGCGAGAGTTTTCTTTGACCTCTAAAATTTAAAATTACAAAGATTATATGTCACATGAAAAATCCTTATCAAGTCTTACTAACATTCAATTTATTGTTAAAGAAATGAATATTATAGTTATAAATTTGTTGATTACATTAGCTTTTACATCATCAAACAACATAAATTACTATAAAGTGATAGAACTAAAAATGACGGCAAAATGTCAATTTTCACTATAAAATATTATTTTTTATAATTGATTAATATTGTATTTATTTTCAAATTTCAAATCACATAAATGAAAATAACCTAAACATAAATATTAAGATAAAAAGTAAATGACATGCCTAAACATGGATCCATTATAGATTTTAATATATTGCAGTATCTGCATCGTATTAACATCTCCTAAAGCAATATAGCAATAGAAGAGGACATATCTTTTGTATCTTATTTGCATTTGAACAGAAGCAGAAAACTGCATAATTTGAAAATGTATTAGAAAAAAATATGAGATCAATATCAATTATATATAGATGCATATAATTGACCTCTGAATAAAATTGTGCTTGTTAATTTCACAAAATAATGTCATAAATTAGTAAAACAACTTTAATAAAATATGAACTTATTTATAAATAAATGAATCGTACTTACTAATCATATTAATTTTTCTTTGTAGTAGCTCCACCACATCCTTATTATTTATTTCTTGTAGTTGTTCCACGGCATCAATATTTTCTGAAGAGTTGAGAAAAATACATACAAAGACATTCCCATATAAGTTAGAGAAATATTTAGAATACAAGCATGAGAGTCAAATTAAATTACCAAGTTTATGGAATTTTTTGCTTTTAATGTTTTTGGACCTTAACTCTTAAAAACAAAAAAGATTTGGATAGAATACCTGAAGAGTAAATCTTGGAGATAATTTTTGAATGTGGATTTCGACATAAATTTCCTTCTTGTTCCTCTCTGTCATCAATATCTTTTGAAGAGTTTGGGGAAATACCTACAAGAAAAGTCTGATGTTTAGGTCAGAGAAGTGCTTAGGGTGCATATACAAGATAGTTAGATTAAATTACTAACCTTGTGGGGTTTTCTACTTTTTATATGTTTTTATAAGCCTTATCCCTTAATAAAAAAAATGATATAATAACTAAAGAGTAAGTTTAGGGGATAATATTAAAATATAGATTTAAGCTTAAGATAATTCTAAAAAATTAATTTGTAAGATAAGAATCTTATTTATATACTCTTTCAAGTATCGCATGTAATTTTGGTGTCCAAATTTTAATTAAATAATTATAATTTTTTAAATATTGTAATTATATAATTTTAATTTATCACATTAAAAATCTAATAATTTTAAATATATATTATTTTCTAAATAAATAAAATGTATATATACTATATGTATTATATCAATAATATTATTAATATATTTATGGATAAATTATAATTTTATAAATATAAATTAGTATATATGAATATACTTTTATAAAATATAAAGATATTAAATAAAATAAAAATACTTTGAAAAAATTAATTAGAAATATTGATATTGTGTTTCTCCATTAGTATTGCATCAATAAAAATTATTAAATTTTTAAAGGAGAGACTAAAATCATAAAATTATAACATTTGGAAGATTGAAATTGATCAATTAAAAATTAAGAGATAAAAATTTTCATGATTATAGAACTTGAAAAATTAAAATTACTCAATTAAAAATTAGATGAATAAAATCATACAATTGTCAAATTCAAAGGACTAAAAATATATTTAAGATCATACTCAAATTTGACATTACCTCTAGCTTCTAATTGAAGTGAGACTTAAATTTTTTCAATACATCCCACATACTAACATATTATATTATATATATATATATATATACTTGTCTAATTATGTTAGATAGATATTTATACATGTATACTTTGGATGAACGATAACTAAAAGGTATTAGACTACATATCTTGTTAGAGAGGGTCAAGTAGCAGTGATGAAGGTTAATAGGAGCGAGGGGCAGCTATGCCCCGTCCGCCATTTTTTTTATTTTCCTTTTAAAAAGTAAAAAAAAAAAAAAGTGCTATATTATAAATAAATAAAGATATATATATGTATTTAAATATTTTGGCAAAAAATCATAAAAATAGATTTTTTATATGTATAAATGTATCGGAATAACTGGATTGTTATGAAACTCATACCTGAAGCATACGATGGTTGCTGTGTAGCCATGTTTATGCCTTTGCAGCACAAGAAGCCACATAGCGCTCGGACAATTTCATCAACTTCTTCTGCAATGGAAATAATGCATTCCATTTGTTTTTCTTTCCTTAGTCTTCTTGTTTACTTTCTTGTGAAACTGAAAACATGCATGATATGAACATCAAAAACAAATCCATTATGACAACGGAACACTATTGAAAGTTTTAAGATTACCTTTTGTGAACAGATCGCTTGATGAACTCTTATGTTTATACTTGCTTCTCTCGAGCAGAAATGAAGAATGAAGTACGAGATCCAGAGAGACTAATATATATAGCAATAAAGAAAAGAACGAATTTGCTGGGAATGAACCCTTTTTATTTGACCATGATTCTCGAGTTATTATTATATCTAACAAACAAAAACTCGTGTTATTATGACATAATAAATGAAGTTTGGTCGCCACTCGCCAGTATAATATATAGTAAACATAAAAGACAGCACATCATGAGTTGTTCCAAGTAAAACTGTGTTCACATTTTTGAACAATATTTTCAACTTTAGATTAGTGAATAAAAAAAATGATTACTTACGTAAATTTTATTAAATTTAGTAACTTTTTATTTTAAAAATATTGACTCTGTATATTTAATCTTTTTTTTTATTCTAAAAACATTTGTTTAATAAAATGAGTAGTTTTTTTTACATACATATATATATCTAAACATCTTTATTTTAAAAAGTGTTACTTTATCACAGAAAAAAAAACTCCTATATATTTTTAATGAAATATTAAAAAACAATTTTTTTATAAATTTAAACAAGTGAATCATTATACTTCTTAATGTTTTTTTTTCTTTAATATTTTGCAAGCAGGGTGTCAGCTTACACATTGCTGACCAAATATTGGCAAATGCAGTAAAGGTTTTGACTTTCACTATATTGAGGCATCCACGTATGGTATTCAATACTTGCCACATGTGGGTGAAACGGTGAAAGGCATAAATTAAACTAACAACAATTGTTGAAGCGTTTTTTTTAATTAAAAAATTTAAATTAGAGAAAGATATAACTTATATGATAATTTCTTTATAAATAATACGAGAGAAGATGAATTTGATATTAAATTCTAGTCAATAGAAATAACAGGAATTAAGTTAATCTGTAACATGATGTTAGTCAAAATTTTACAATGCTCATGATCAAAATCGATGAATTACTTTTATAAATTGTTATAAATTTTTACAAGTTATTGCGCTTCTTAAAATTGTCACCCAAATTTCGTTTCTCACTACCCATCAGCACAACTTATATTTCATCTTAATTGAATATATATTACTAAATCCAAGTTTGACAGTTGCCCTTACACAAAGATTACTTTTTTTTTTTTTTACTTGTCAAAGAAAGAATGCATAAGCACTCTCGTGAAAGGCCTTTCAATATATAAAACTACAAAAATTGAAGACAACCAAATGAATTTCAGCATTTTGGATAAAAGGCAAGGTGTGGTAGAAAAAGCAATCCAAGCCAAATATTGGCTTATTACTTTTTGGAGAATTATTCCTATATCCTAATTTAGTCATTAGATATTGCAATTAAACTGTGATTCCAATAAACTTTCTACCTACAAGATAACTAACAAAAGAAACTACCTATTAAGCATCATCAATAGGATACCGTTTAAACAAATTGCTATCATGTTCAAAGCTAACAATACACTATCATGTTCAAACCAATAAAACCTCTAATAACCTTACACTTCATAGTCCACCATACACCATTTGTATACCAAGAATACCATAGAATTCATCGATTTATTGAAATAATTTTAACAAAAAAAAAAAGCTAACAAAAAAGACTTAATTTAATTTTGTAAAGTGATTAACCAAACAAACTTTTCCATATAAAAATATAAAGTCACAAAAAAGTCCCATAAATTTATTTCATAAGTTTGAACTTAAGACCTCAACTATAGTTATCCATGGAGAATGCTATTGGGATTTTCATTTTGTTGGACAACACGTTCTTATTATTGGCTACAAACAAAATTCTACAACCCCTGTGATCATTTCCAAATGGTATTCCTATCTTGGTCAAGTTGATTTCACCTTGTAGGTCATCTAAGATGATAAGAATTTTTTGCTTCATCTTTATTTTTTCATATAAACAACTAGCTCTTTCCTCTAAAGTTTTCTTTTGGAGTTGTAAACCCAGCTGGTTCCCAAGTTCTTCTTGAATATTTTTCACATCTAGTGATTTGCTCCACCATATATTCTTTTTTCCCAGGCTTGCCTTTATAATCACATCAAATTGTCCATCCCTCTCAACTCTCCTGATAATTTTCTTCACCACATTGTCCTTACTCTTATAACTTGATCCGTACAACCCAATCATGATAATATCTGGTTGTGCTAGAGTTGTTATCATTTCATGTAAAATATGGTCCTTGTATAAATAAGGAGTGACATCAAGCTCATGAAGGGGAAGTGATGATCGTCGTCCGTGTACTGTAAAATGAATAGATTGAATATAATTATATTATAATAGACAAACTAGTACGTGGATGCATAGGACAAATTAATCAGAAAGTAATATAATATATTATAATAAATAATTGCAAAATAATAAAGTTGAAAAAATATATGGAAAGGGGTGATTTCTAAGTCATAAGCTTATGAAATTCAAACTTGAAAAAAAATTCCTAAGCTTACAAAATGGAAAAGGAAGATAACATTTTAAAGGTGAAAAATATACAACATATGCCAAATGAAACTCGCTTCGGCCATTGGTATTATAATATATTATCATAAATCATTTAAAATTAATTTAGTCTCAATCTGCAACTAAAATCATAAAACATAATGTATAACAATTCTTTAGTTATTTCAAAGTAAAAACGGATGCAAATAAAAGAAAACTATATATGCAAGAAGCTAAAAGAATCGATGGAATGTTGATAGAAAACATTCAAATAGGATTGGCTACCAAAGTTCCTCAAATTTTAAAGGAAAAATATAACTCAAAAGTTGAAGTAGAATAATTTTTTTATATGCACTTCATTCATAATTGTGCTAATTAAACACATATAATATTGTCAACAAAACTTAATTCAATTTTGTTGCTTTCCTGTAGTTTTTGTTAACAACATAAAATATTTTGCATTATTCTATAAGAATAGTTTCTCCAATAGTCTTTCTCCAACAAACACCACATCTATAAAATATCCAATATGTTAATTACTAATGTATCAAATTATAAAATTTTACAACTTATATATAAAAAGAAAACCACTGATTTAACAACAAATTTATAGCTAGTGTATTATAGCTAGTGTATTATGCATCTAATTTATTTAGAACAGTTCAAATTATAATATGTTTAAAGAGTTTTCTTTGAACTTTGAAATTTAAAAATTACGAAGATTAATTCTATTAATATATTTAAATATGTTAATGAAAAACTCCTTATCAAGTCTTCCTAACATTAAAGTTTATTGTTAAGGAAATGAATGATGAAAGTAATAGATTTGTTGATTTAGTTTTTCAACATCAAAAAACATAAATTACAATAAAGTGATAGAACTACAAATGAGAGCACAATATCAAATTTCACTATAAAATATTATTATTTTAAAATTGATTAACATTGCATTTATTTTCAAATAAATGATGTATAACTCTTTTAATGAATATAGGATAGTGTCATATGTAACTTTATTTAATGAATCTTTAATAGTTCTTATAATTTCATAAAATGTGAATTTAAATTTAATTCAATAATATAAATTATCTTGTTAAGTGAGAGATATTTCACATTTATATACACCATTTTAATCTTATTTCTTAAAAAAAAAAAAAAAACAAGATCACTATTGTTTTTTCATTTTTTTTTACTTGTCTAATTATTTCAGATAAATATTTTATAACAAGTGTATTTAAATATTTTGGCAAATAACAAGTGGTTGTGGATACATGGAATTAGATTTTTTATATTTTATAAATGTACCGGAATAAATGGATTGTTTTGAAACTCATACCAAAACGTTGTTGTCTAGCCTTGACTATACCTTTGCAGCACAAGAAGCAACGTAGCGTTCGGACGACAATTTTAACGACCTCTTTTGCAATGGAAATAATGCATCCCATTTTTTTCCTTCCTTAGTCTTCTTGTTTAATTTGTTGTGAAACTGAAAACAATGCATGATGAACATCAAAAACAAATCCATTATGACAACGGAACACTATTGAAAGTTTTAAGATTACCTTTTGTGCACAGATCGATTCATGAACTCTTATGTTTTGTATAGACTTGCTTGCTTCTCTCCAGCAGAAATGAAGAATGAAGTATGAGATCCAGAGAGACTAATATATATAGCAATAAAGAAAAGAGCCAAGTTGCTGAGAAAGTGGGAATGAACCCTTTTTCTTTAATATTTTGCAAGCAGGGTGTCAGCTTACACACTGCTGACCAAATATTATTGCGAATGCAGTTAAGGCTTTGACTTTGACAATTATAATACTGACACAGCTAGAGCTAGCTACTGAGGCTTCCACATGGGTATTCAATACTTGTCACATGTGGGTCAAACGCTGAAGGCATAAATTAAACTAACAACAATCATTGAAGTCTTTTTTTTTAAATTTAAATTAGAGAAAGATATAACTTATATGAGAATTTCTTTATAAATAATACGAGAGAAAATGAGTTTGATATTAAATTCTAGTTAATAGAAATAAAAGGACTTAAGTTAATCTGTAACGATCTTCAAACTTTTTGTAACTCTATGTCTCCAAAGTAACTCAATAGTAATGATGACCTAAGTGGTAAAACTTAGTCACATACTCATGCACAAACAAAACAACATCACACACAAATCCATTTTGTCCTTTTGTTTTCTTGTGAAACTGAGAACTAATACATGATGAAGCAATAGTATATCAGAAACAAATCCATTAATTAGGACAAGGGAACACTAATATAGTAAGTTTTAAGATTACCTTTTGTGATATAGTACTCTTATGAGAAAGATATAAAGAAAAGGATTATAATATATAGCAATGAACAGGAGGACTATAATATATACAGTATTAAATTCTTATTCATCTTCGTGGCATTGATTCAATACCGTGTTGTTATTATTTTTCTCTGGTGATAATTCTCGTGTTATTATTATATCTAACAAAACGATACGTGTTATTACGATATAATAAATAAAGTTTGATGATAATCATAATATGGAGTATTAAATATAACAAAATCAATAAAAACATGATGTTAGTCAAAATGAATTCATGGTTGAGTAAATAAATCACACCATTGAAATTGGTGAGATTTTCGATAGAAATAGCTGCATATTAAATAACATTTCATACTTGTAAAATGATTACAAAATAAAAGAACATAAAAATTGAACATGGAGTAGAAAATGAGCATGTCATGCCTTGTACACACTTCATACGCGCAAGCGTCTCTAATTTAAATTTGCATGTCATTGATGCTATCTATATCATGGTAATTTCACTAATTTGACTTGTCGTGCCAACCCATGTAGCTAGGTGTGTTTGTAAGAAAAATAAAATTGTGAAGTAAAATTTGACTTTCATTCTTCTTTATACAATTTGATTGTATTTCATTTTATATTTTCTGAACAAATAATATATCTACATTTGATCCATTTGATTGCGGTAAATAAAATAATAATAATCAGTAATTACTAATTAAAAAATTAAAATAAATAAACAATCTTTATTAACAAACATAAACGGTTATTTTGTATGAGAGTGTTTTCAAAAATTATTCTTTTAGTTAAAGCTTTTTCATTTTTTTAACTTATTATTTAATTTGATTTTTATTTGTTATATTTATTTATAAATTAAATTTTAATATTTTTAAAAATAAATTATCAATAATTAAAAATAATATTGTGTTGTAATTTAAGTTATTCATCTTAACTCTAAAATATAATTTATATATTTAAAAAATTATTTATATAAATTTTAAATATGATTTATGTAATTAAATATAATATTCATCAAAAAAAATTACACATATGAGATGATTATTATTACTACATTAGCGATTATCATCATTATCATTATCAATGTCACTGTTACATGATAATAATAATAATGTTAAAGATTATAATTGTGTGAAAGTAACAAAAATAATTATTTCCTATATCATAGACTTTTAGTGACTAAATAAAATTCATCATTCTAAAATGATGAGAATTTTCATTTAATCATGTCCCATATTATATTTTTTATCATTAGAAAATATATATTGTTAAAAACAGAATATTATGAAAAAAATTCCAAAAAATTTTATTTGTTTTAAAAAAAAGCTAAAAATTATTTCGTTGAACAATGATAATTAAAAATAGATTTAAATAAATTTTAAACCGTCCACTCTAAAAGAATTTTATTTTTACTGTAGTTTATCTTAAAAAAAATTGTAACTTTTAATTTTTATTAATTTTTTGTTACATAAATTAATCATAATTGAAATTAGTCTTATCTATTAAGTACTATTAATATACATTAAGAATATTGATGCGTATATAATTACATAATAATTATTAAATTATATGATATATATATATATATATATATATATATATATTTAATTTTATTATTCGCACATAATCATAAAGAATGAATAATTGTTTTTAAAATATTTTATATTTTCAAAAAAGAATGTCTTATCATAAGTAAATAGAGAAATTACAATGTTATATAATTTAACATCGAATAAGTAATTATGTAAACATCAATAATCGATTCTATTATAATTTTTTAACATATAATCATTTAATAGATAAGACTTAATTTTAAGAATTAACGAGAAATTAAAATATGACAAAAAAAAATTTGAATTTTCAATAGAAAATCAATCATATACTATGTTTTCCTTTTCTTCTATTTTTTTTCTTTTAAATCAAACAAAGGCTAAAAACTTAGTTGAACTATAGTATCTTCCTCTTTTTCAACTATTGTATTTCACAACTTCATCGAATTCTCAACGTGGGTATATGAACAAGGGTTTTCAAAAGGAGAAAAATAAAAAAGGGAACGCGGCATCAAGGACTTAAAATATAGTGGGGATGGCTTCTAACTCTTAAAAACGAAAATGATAACAAATAAAAATATTGCAGTTATTTTTATTGTTATTTTTAGTGTTTTTTCAAAAATAAAAAAACACTATTGTATAACGTACCTAAAATATTAATTTCTAAATCTTATTTTTTGATGCAACAATAAAGTGAATCTCCATCACAATTAAAAATTTATATATTTATATTTTATATAATTTTTATTTAAAATTTTGATTGATATTTTTTTTTTTATATTTACATTTAAATCAATAATTGACTTGATTTTTTAATAAAAAATTATAATTCTTTATTTTATTTGTTAAAAATATAAATATCTAATTAATTTTTAGTTTTTCTTATTTTAAAAAATATGATGAGACAATTCACCTAATCTTCTAATCCGTAATTAGTCAAGTCAGATTAAAATTTTTCTAACTTTTCAGAAAGTAAATTGAGTTAGATTGACCTATTTAAAATACCAATCCATGATGAACTAATTTGGATGAGATAAATTACTAATTTTAACACTTTTATTAAATATTTATAATGAATAAAATAATTATAATAAAAGGTTAAAAAAATATATTTTAAACTAAATAACCAGATAAAGTCACAATAAAATCTGTAAAATTATTCCACCCGTACGTTTAAACTTAAGACTTCAACTATTGTGATCCACAAAAATACTTTTAGGGTTATCATTTGGTTTGACAACACATCTTGATTCTCAGTTACTAACAAAATTTTACAATGCTTACAATCAAAATCGATGAATTACGTATTATATGCTTATAAATTTTTACAAGTTATGCGCTTCTTAAAATTGTCACCCAAGTGCGTATTTGCTTTACTCAGTTTCCAAATTTCAAAGCACGAATAACATAATTTCTCTTTCACATAATTTTGATGTTGAATGAATCTGGATGATAATTCAAATCCGTCTAAAGTGTTTGATTTTCATTTCTCCAACACTCACTATCATGTGACCATTCTCTTTACTTTTATCAAGGATATTAAAGCCATTGAAATAATTAAAAAAAAAACAAACATAATTTAAATAATATTTCATCAAGTCAATTTGTAGACCAAGAATACCATACAATTCATCAATTTATTGAAATAATTATAACAAAAAAAAAAAAAAGCTAACAAGAAATATTTAATTTATTTTTGTAAAGTGATTAACCAAACAAACTTCTCTATATAAAAACATAAAGCGACAATAAAATTCATAAAATTATTTTATAAGTTTGAAATTAAAACCTCAACTGAAGTCATCCATGGAGAACACTGATTGGATTTTCATTGTGTTGGACAACACCTCCTTATTATTGGCAACTAACAAAATTCTACAACCCATGTGATCATTTCCAAATAGTATTCCTATCTTGGTCAAGTTGATTTTACCTTGCAGATCGTCTAAGATAATAAGGATTTTTTGCTTCATCTTTAATTTATCAGACAAACAACTAGCTCTTTCCTCTAGAGTTTTCTCTTGGAGTTGTAAACCCAAATGGCGGGCGTTTCTCTCAAGTGCGGAGACTGTGGGGCTCTGTTGAGGACCGTAGAAGAAGCCCAAGAGCACGCCGAACTCACTTCCCACTCCAACTTCTCCGAATGCACTGAACCCGTTCTCAACATAAGATATGAAAACCTCAAGTTGAAACTCCATCATTTATTATACTGAAAATCACAAAAATCACAATAATTTGCCTAAATGCAAACAACTTGACATTTGCTCACAAAAAATGTCAAAACTAGTTATAGACCTCCTTTTTAGGTGATTTCAAAGCCATCGGAAAGATAACATCCAAGACTACAAATTTTTTATGAAAATCATAAAAGCAAATTCAATCATCTACTTACTTAAACGAGTCAATCTCTCACTTAAGTGAGGTCAACTCATTCAGAGCGACCATCAACTCACTCAAAGTAATCAACATCTTGTTTTAAGTGACTAATAACTCGCTCGGAGCAACCAAAACTGGCTCTGAGCGACCTAAGGCAGAGAACATCTCTGAATAATCACCTAGGCTTGCTTGGAGTGACCCCCATGGGCCGTCTAAACAACCAAACCCAAAAACATGCAAATTTGAAGCTCAAGAACACCAATCTAGCAAAACACTTCAATAATCCAAAAATCCATTCAATCCCTACATCAATTCATGCATGCATCTCAATCACTCATACGTGCACCTTTCCAACAACTCATTTTACCCAAAAAAACACAAAAAGCAACTACGAAATTTGTCAAGATCATTAAAATCATCTCAACCACCTCAAGAACAACCAAAACCCCACCACTTAACGTTTAAATTTGTAAATCCATCGATTCATGCAACAAATGATAATCTCATTTTTATACAATACAATAATTCAATCAACCATTCATCCTAACTTCCCTTACCGTAGAACTATAGCCACCTCGAATGAAGAGAAAAGGGAGAAGGAAGCAGAAGCAACCCCAAGAAGCTCTACATTCACACAATCATCAACTCCAGCAACTTCGAATCACCACCTAAAGGATCAAAAAGACCTCTCACACCTTTGGAAAATCTAGAAGAAGGAAGAAGAAATGAGAAATCTCCAAAGCCTAGTTATCTTGTTTATCTCTTTATAATCTTGGAGAAGGAACTTATGAAGCTTGTTATAAAAAAACTATTTACACCTTTCTTTCTCAAGTTTAACTAGACCTCTAACTAGAGGTCTTTCGCTTTCAATGTCACTCCACAACCCTTAAGTACCTAAAAATCAATTGATTAACTTACAGTGTCACACACCAGATACTCCATCATTAAAACAAATTTTACATATTATTATTCTTGATTCTTGATTTTTGATATTAAAATTAACTTAAAATACCTTTTTTAACCCTTATATAATTTCACTTAACTTTTTTGTTTTTATAAAATTAAAATATATTTTTTTTAGTTAATGTACTTAAATCCTTAAGATAGATTTTTTAAGTCTTAATAATTGCATTATATATATTTTTTTAATTTCTATTCTTAATTTTTTTAACACCGTCTCCTTTTTTTTTTTAATCTTAATTAATATGATAGACATATCAATTTAATATTGAATGTCTAATGTTAAATTTATCTTGCTAGAATTATTTAAAATCAAGTTTCTCAACGTTTTATCACTTTTTTTTTTCCCTTCTTACTCATGACATCCATTGTTAAAATCATTTTTTTACCTTTACAAAATTAAAAACATATATTATGTCCACACAAAATAAATAACATTTTAAAAAATTAATAATATAGATTAAAAAAAAATGCAATTGAAACAAAAATCTATTTTGAATTGCAGGAACTAAGAAGGATGAAAACATAAATATAAAAATTAAAAATACCTATTTATACCTATTTATTTCCTATTATAAAAAGAATATCAAGTTTGTAATTATTTTTATCTGTATTTTCAGTGAACCATTGCACTCTTGAATGTTAAAAAATAACTTCTCATATTTTTTTTAAGTTAATCATCTATATACTGTCAATATAAAGTTTTTTACACCGGGAACCAATGAGATCTTTTAAAGTTATTTATTTTATTTAATGACATAATAATAAAATAAACAACTTTAAAAATCTCATTATTTATCAATTTAAAATTTTTTTATACTAGCAGTATATAGGTGATTATTTTTATTTTTATAAATAATCATCTCTCTATATTTATACATATTATAAAGTGATAAATTTTAATAATCACCTTTTAGTTTTTATTTTTAATAAATAATTATACTCTTAAAATATAAAAAGATTTTTTAAAAAATATTTTTTTAAATAATTATCTATAATTTTTAATATTTATTTATGTATATATTAGAGGGACAGAGTTACTCAAATTCTCAATGTGAATAATTGTTAGAGGAACCATGTAATTTTAAATTATTGCGACTACAAAAGTAAAATTATAGCGGTGATGTTGGCATCTCCAATTTCTTGTACTCGGAGAAAGCGAGCAGTGGTGACTCACAGGTGTAGATTGGTCAAAATATAACTAATCCGCTTCGGTGAAAATCGCGAGCGCATTGCATTTGCATTTGCATCAATGGCGGGCGTTTCTCTCAAGTGCGGAGACTGTGGGGCTCTGTTGAGGACCGTAGAAGAAGCCCAAGAGCACGCCGAACTCACTTCCCACTCCAACTTCTCCGAATGCACTGAACCCGTTCTCAACCTCGTTTGCACCGCTTGCTCCAAACCCTGCCGATCCAAAACCGTTAGTCCAATCAACACTTTCCGATTATCGTTTTAGGGTTCCACATCGCTATTAGTTATCTGTTTATTTATTTTTCATATGCATTAACTGAATCCTTATTATATATTCTTTTTTCGATATATCTATAGAATCGAATTAAAATTATGATTCTATAATATATATAGAATATTTTTATTTACTTTTTTAAGAAAAAAGTTCTAATTAATAATAAATTGAATTATATAAATTCTAAATTTTTATATTAATTATATATTCTATATTTTTTATATTAATTAATAGACCACGTATAAATAGATTTCTAGTATTTTAAAATTGAAATATTAATCTTATCTTATTCTTAATTAATCTTATCTTATTCTTATATAATAGAATAAATAAAAATAATAGAATATAATACGAATAGAGTATTCAAATTGAAAATTTAAATTTTTTATAGTTTATTCGATTTATTTTATTATTTAAATTTTATTGTTTTTTTTAGTTTTACAATATACCATCATATAAGTATAAGATATGAAAACCTCAAGTTGAAACTCCATCATTTATTATACTGAAAATCACAAAAATCACAATAATTTGCCTAAATGCAAACAACTTGACATTTGCTCACAAAAAATGTCAAAACTAGTTATAGACCTCCTTTTTAGGTGATTTCAAAGCCATCGGAAAGATAACATCCAAGACTACAAATTTTTTATGAAAATCATAAAAGCAAATTCAATCATCTACTTACTTAAACGAGTCAATCTCTCACTTAAGTGAGGTCAACTCATTCAGAGCGACCATCAACTCACTCAAAGTAATCAACATCTTGTTTTAAGTGACTAATAACTCGCTCGGAGCAACCAAAACTGGCTCTGAGCGACCTAAGGCAGAGAACATCTCTGAATAATCACCTAGGCTTGCTTGGAGTGACCCCCATGGGCCGTCTAAACAACCAAACCCAAAAACATGCAAATTTGAAGCTCAAGAACACCAATCTAGCAAAACACTTCAATAATCCAAAAATCCATTCAATCCCTACATCAATTCATGCATGCATCTCAATCACTCATACGTGCACCTTTCCAACAACTCATTTTACCCAAAAAAACACAAAAAGCAACTACGAAATTTGTCAAGATCATTAAAATCATCTCAACCACCTCAAGAACAACCAAAACCCCACCACTTAACGTTTAAATTTGTAAATCCATCGATTCATGCAACAAATGATAATCTCATTTTTATACAATACAATAATTCAATCAACCATTCATCCTAACTTCCCTTACCGTAGAACTATAGCCACCTCGAATGAAGAGAAAAGGGAGAAGGAAGCAGAAGCAACCCCAAGAAGCTCTACATTCACACAATCATCAACTCCAGCAACTTCGAATCACCACCTAAAGGATCAAAAAGACCTCTCACACCTTTGGAAAATCTAGAAGAAGGAAGAAGAAATGAGAAATCTCCAAAGCCTAGTTATCTTGTTTATCTCTTTATAATCTTGGAGAAGGAACTTATGAAGCTTGTTATAAAAAAACTATTTACACCTTTCTTTCTCAAGTTTAACTAGACCTCTAACTAGAGGTCTTTCGCTTTCAATGTCACTCCACAACCCTTAAGTACCTAAAAATCAATTGATTAACTTACAGTGTCACACACCAGATACTCCATCATTAAAACAAATTTTACATATTATTATTCTTGATTCTTGATTTTTGATATTAAAATTAACTTAAAATACCTTTTTTAACCCTTATATAATTTCACTTAACTTTTTTGTTTTTATAAAATTAAAATATATTTTTTTTAGTTAATGTACTTAAATCCTTAAGATAGATTTTTTAAGTCTTAATAATTGCATTATATATATTTTTTTAATTTCTATTCTTAATTTTTTTAACACCGTCTCCTTTTTTTTTTTAATCTTAATTAATATGATAGACATATCAATTTAATATTGAATGTCTAATGTTAAATTTATCTTGCTAGAATTATTTAAAATCAAGTTTCTCAACGTTTTATCACTTTTTTTTTTCCCTTCTTACTCATGACATCCATTGTTAAAATCATTTTTTTACCTTTACAAAATTAAAAACATATATTATGTCCACACAAAATAAATAACATTTTAAAAAATTAATAATATAGATTAAAAAAAAATGCAATTGAAACAAAAATCTATTTTGAATTGCAGGAACTAAGAAGGATGAAAACATAAATATAAAAATTAAAAATACCTATTTATACCTATTTATTTCCTATTATAAAAAGAATATCAAGTTTGTAATTATTTTTATCTGTATTTTCAGTGAACCATTGCACTCTTGAATGTTAAAAAATAACTTCTCATATTTTTTTTAAGTTAATCATCTATATACTGTCAATATAAAGTTTTTTACACCGGGAACCAATGAGATCTTTTAAAGTTATTTATTTTATTTAATGACATAATAATAAAATAAACAACTTTAAAAATCTCATTATTTATCAATTTAAAATTTTTTTATACTAGCAGTATATAGGTGATTATTTTTATTTTTATAAATAATCATCTCTCTATATTTATACATATTATAAAGTGATAAATTTTAATAATCACCTTTTAGTTTTTATTTTTAATAAATAATTATACTCTTAAAATATAAAAAGATTTTTTAAAAAATATTTTTTTAAATAATTATCTATAATTTTTAATATTTATTTATGTATATATTAGAGGGACAGAGTTACTCAAATTCTCAATGTGAATAATTGTTAGAGGAACCATGTAATTTTAAATTATTGCGACTACAAAAGTAAAATTATAGCGGTGATGTTGGCATCTCCAATTTCTTGTACTCGGAGAAAGCGAGCAGTGGTGACTCACAGGTGTAGATTGGTCAAAATATAACTAATCCGCTTCGGTGAAAATCGCGAGCGCATTGCATTTGCATTTGCATCAATGGCGGGCGTTTCTCTCAAGTGCGGAGACTGTGGGGCTCTGTTGAGGACCGTAGAAGAAGCCCAAGAGCACGCCGAACTCACTTCCCACTCCAACTTCTCCGAATGCACTGAACCCGTTCTCAACCTCGTTTGCACCGCTTGCTCCAAACCCTGCCGATCCAAAACCGTTAGTCCAATCAACACTTTCCGATTATCGTTTTAGGGTTCCACATCGCTATTAGTTATCTGTTTATTTATTTTTCATATGCATTAACTGAATCCGTTACTGTTGCTTGCAATTGGATCGCGCAGGAGAGCGATTTGCACACCAAGAGAACCGGCCACACTGAATTTGTCGATAGGACTTCCGAGGCGGTGAAGCCGATTAGTTTGGAGGCTCCGAACGGCGACAAAATTAATATTTCCCGGACGAAATTGGGTTACTACACCCAACTGGTTCCCAAGTTTTTCTTGAATATTTCTCACGTCTAGTGATTTGTTCCACCATGTATTCTTTTTTACCAAGCTTGCCCTTATAATCCCATCAAATTGCCCATCCCTCTTAACTCTTCTGGTGATTTTCATTATTGCATTGTCTTTACTCTTATAACTTGATCCGTACAACCCAATCATGATAGTATCTGGTTGTGTTAGAGTTGTTATCATTTCATTCAAAATCTGGTCCATGTATAGATAAGGAGTAATGGCATCAAGCCCATTACCCGATGCTGAATCAAGCCTAACCGACATTGAAGGTCGAACTAGTGCATGGACATATGAAACAAATTAGTTAGAAAGTAATATAATATATTATAATGAATAATTACAAAGTAATAAAGTTAAAAAAAATATGGAAAAAGGTAAATTCTAAGTCATAAGCTTATGAAATTCAAACTTGAAACAATAAATAAATATATATGTATATATAGCATATTCCTTAAGCTTGCAAAATGGAAAAGAAAAAGATAACATTATAAAGGTGAAAAATATACAATATATATGGCAAATTAATGAAACTCCCTTCGACCACTGGTATTATAATACATTATCATAAATCATTTAAAATTAATTTAGTCTCAAACTGTGACTGAAATCATAAAACATAATGCATAACAATTCTTTAATCATTTCATTGTAGAAATGGATGCAAATAAAGAAAATACGCAAGAAATTAATATTTGAAACTAATCGATGGAATTTTGATAGAAAACGTCCAAATAGGATTGCAAAATGCCCTACCGAAGTTGCTCATCAAATTTTGAAGGTAAAATATATATAACTCAAAAGTTGAAGTACAGTAATTTTTTGATATGCACTTCATTCATAATTGTGCTAATTAATTACATATAATAGAACAAAATATCCAATATTACCAATCAATGTAATCAAAACTAAAATCATTTGTGTTACATCCTCTAATTTGTTTTCAACACAAAATATTGTAGATTGTTCTATAAGAATAGTTTCTCTAATAATCCTTTCCCCAACAAACACCACATCTATAAAATATTCAATATGTTAATTATTAATGTATCAAATTATAAAAGTTTACAACTTATATATAAAATGAAAACCACTGATTTGACAACAAATTTATAACCAGTATATTGGGCATCTAATTTATTTATAATAGATCAAAGTATAATGCGAAAGTTTTCTTTGACCACTGAAATTTAAAATCACGAAGATTAATTCTACTAATATATTTAAATGTGCACATGAAAAATTCCTTATCAAGTCTTCCTAACATTCAAATTTATTGTGTTAAAGAAATGAATGATTAGTATTAGATTTGTTGATTACGTTAGCTTTTGCCCCATCAAACAACATAAATTACTAAGTGATAGAACTAAAAATGACCGCAAAATGTCAAATTTCACTATAAAATCTTATTATTTTATAATTGATTAACATTGAATTTATTTTGAAATTCCAAATCACGTAAATGAAAATAACCTAAATATAAATTTTAGGATCAAAAGTAAATGACATGCCTAACCATGGTTCCATTATAGATTTTATTGTAGTATTTGCATCGTATAACATCTCCTAAAGCAATATAGCAATAGAAAAGGACATATCTTTTGTATCTTATTTGCATTGAACAGATGCAGAAAAATGCATAATTTGAAAATGTATTAGACAAAAAAAAAATCAATATCAATTATAAATGCATATAATTGACTTTTGAATGAAATTGTGTTTCTTAGCTTCAAAATATTACTATCCATGCATGTTCGAATTTCACAAAATACTGTCATTAATTAGTAAAACAACTTTGATAAAAAAAAAACTCATTTGTAAATAAATAAATCATACCTATGCAATACTCAATATTTAATTCTTGTATTTGTTCTAGGAAATCCTTAATAATTATTTCTTGTAGTTGCTTCATGACATCAATATCTTTCGAATAATTGGGAAAGATACATACAAAGACATTCTCACATTAGTTAAAGAAATGTTTAGAGTACAAGCATGAGATCAATATATCAATTATAGATGTATGTAATTGACCTTTGAATGTAATGTATTTGTTAGCTTCGAAATATTACTATCCATGCTTGTTCGAATTTCACAATGTAATGTCAAAAATTACTAAGGCAACTTTAAAACAAAATGAACTCATTTGTAAATAAATAAATCATACCATTTAATCTTAGTAGTTGCTCCACGACATCCTTATTATTTATTTCTTGTAGTTGCTCCATGACATCAATATCTTCGGAATAGTTGAGAAACATACATACAAAGACATTCTCACATTAATTAGATAAGTGTTTAGAGTACAAGCATGAGATCAATATCAATTAGAGATGCATATAATTAACCTTTGAATGAAATTGTGCTTGTCAGTTTCAAAATATTACTATCCATGCATGTTTAAATTTCACAACGTAATGTTATAAATTAGTAAAGCAACTTCATAAAAGCTCATTTGTAAATAAATAAATGATAACTAGGTAATCTCATTATTTATTCCTTGTAGTTGCTCCACGACATCCTTAATATTTATTTCTTGTAGTTGCTTCATGACATCAATATCTTTCGAATCGTTGAGAAAGATACATACAAAGACATTCTCACATTAGTTAGAGAAGTGTTTAGAGTACAAGCATGAGATCAATATCAATTATAGATGCATATAATTGACCTCTAAATGAAATTGTGCTTGTTAGCTTTGAAATATTACTATCCACGCATGTTTGAATTTCACAAAGTAATGTCATAAATTAGTAAAGCAACTTTCATAAAAAATGAACTAATTTGTAAATAAATAAATCATACCTGGGTAATCCTCATTATTTATTCCTTGTAATTGTTCCACAACATGCTTACTATTTATTTTTTGTAGTTGCTCCATGACATCAATATCTTCAAAATAGTTGAGAAATACATACAAAGATATTCTCACATTAGTTAGAGAAGTGTTTAGAGTACAAGCATGAGATCAATATCAATTATAAATGCATATAATTGACCTCTTAATAAAATTGTGCTTGTTATCTTTGAAATATTACTATCCATGCATGTTCAAATTTCACAAAGTAATGTCATAAATTAGTAAAACAACTTTAATAAAAATTGAACTCATTTGTAAATAAATAAAGCATACCTAGGTAATCTTCATTATTTATTCCTTGTAGTTGCCCCATGACATTCTTGTTATTTATTTCTTGTAGTTGCTCCATGATATCAATATCTTCCGAATAGTTGAGAAAGATACATACAAAGACATCTCACATTAGATAGAGAAGTGTTTAGAATACAAGGCTGAGAGTCAAATTAAATTACTAACTTATGGAGTTTTTCGCTTTTAATGTTTTTGGACCTTAACTCTTAAAAACAAAAAAAAATTGGACAGAATACCTGAAGAGTAAACCTCCGAGATAATTTTTGAATGTGGATTTGGACATAAATTTTCTTCTTGTTCCTCTGGGTCATCAATATCTTTCGAAGAGTTTGGGGAAGTACCTACAAAGAAAGTCCAATGTTTAGGTCAGAGAAGTGCATAGGGTGCATATACAAGATAGTTAGATTAAATTACTAACCTTGTGGGGTTTCCCATTTTTTATATGTTTTTAAGTCTTATCTCTTAATAAGAATAAAAACAAAAAAATTTTGATATAATAATAACTAAAGAGTAAGTCTTGGGAGATAATATTAAAATGTGGGTTTAAGCTTAACATAATTCTAAAAAATTAGTTTGTAAGGTAAGACTTCTTTGTTTACACTCTAAACTTAATTGGATTTTTATCTTTCAAGTATCATAGTTATGTAATTTTAGTGTCTAAATTTTAATTAAATAATTTTTATTTTTCAAATATTATAATTGTACGACTTTAGTCTTTCATATTAAAAATATAATAATTTTAAATATATATACACACACAAGCACATAAATAGATGGATAGATAGTGTTTTAATATTATATAATTGTTGACTTATTTAAGTTACATGTTTAGTATAATTTTCATTCATATATCAATATATATATATTTATATATATAT